AGTGCACACTTTACAAATATTGCTACTCATTAGAAGTGTTGGTTTGGACATTAAGATTGTTTCAAATTTCATGTTGAAGGTTGGCAAATTACCTTCTAGGCAATGGCTTTGTAACCATTGCCTACCCTTGCTTGCGTGCAGGGTCCTACGAACTCTTTCTTTGGTGCTTCTTCTGGAGGATCGACCATTCCATCGAGCTCATGCCTTACAGCTGTTTCAATTCTTCCATCCTTGCAATGTATCCTTCATCAGAACAGTATTCAGAGGGTAAATGGCTTTTCATCTTACCTTGGTGTTCACCAAATGTTGGCTTTTGCTAATTGTTCTTTGTGTTTTCAGGAAGAGATAATGAAATTGATTAAATATGTGGAGCAATCTGGTAATGTCACTCACGCTGGATGATTATATTTGGCTGTTAACATCTTTCTGGACACATTCGTGATCTAGTTTGTGTTATCCTTTACTTTTGTGCCTTTGTATTTGCTTCTTCTATGTGATGATTCTTTGGCTTGGTTTTATATCTAGGCCCTACGGATTTTGTTGAGGGAGGTATCAATGACCTTTTGCAGGTATTCTCTTCTTTTGATGAAATTCTTGGTTTTGTCGTGTAAAGTGTGGATTTAGAGCTGATGTATTATCTTGTATGAGTTGAATAGTTTTAGGTCTTGTATTGCTTTTGGAGGGAGAAATATTTACTTTGGTACGAGGTAAAGATGTCATCGACTTCTGAATCCATTCTGGTAATGCTTGTAGGTACCACCAACTACTTCGAGGGAAAAGGAGCTGCAATCCCACGTGATTCAATTGCAACAGAGGTAATGGTCTGAATCCCAGGATTCTTCAAATTACTGCCTGATGTTTCTATTTTGTAATGAACTGGATACTTGTTTGAAATCTTAGCATTGGGAGTCTGGTCGAGGAACTGCAGAGACAGAAGTTGAAAAATGCTCAGGTGTGTTTACTTTTTGTTTTGAGAAAAAAATTTGTTTTAGTTGCCTGTTCTTTAAGAATGTGCTCGTCTTTATTTCTGTACCTCAAATTTTTGCAGAAACTGGAAATGTTTTTGTCTCCATAAAAAAGTGTTCTTCATATTCTATTTCATCAATTCCTTTTTTTTTTCACATAAAAGACAATATACTTGCTTTATATAGTATTAAATTTGTACCTATATCTGAGTTCAATTGGCCATGTCATAGATTGTGATGATTAGTCATATATCCTCATTGGTCACATCGTCTCCATAAGTACAATATGTCCTTTTGGTTTGCAGCTGGAAAAGAAAGCGAGTGCATTGCTCAAGGACGAAAAGTGAAAATGGCATTGTAACATCGGTGGCGATTTTGGTGCCCGCTTGTTGGTTGCTACGGCCTTCGACAGGCTACATTGTAATTTTTGTCCACCTCGTGTGAATATTAAAGCCGGCTACCAGTTATTGAGATGCCATTCTTGAGTGTCATACATGTTGTAATATGGTTGTGACATTGTAATTATGATTAGTGGGGATATATATAATTTTATTTCAGCTCTGTCCCTCTTTTGAGTCTCTCTCTCTCTCCCCCCTTATTCAAAAGAATTTGGTGGTCTTTGTACTATAATTGTACGATATTGTGCGATGGTGTAACAAGATCTAATGAAATTGCATTTCGTTTCCCCCCGTTGTCCATTCGATCATTCAATCAAAATTGTCACTCTAACCATCGTTCATCCAATCGAAATTTTGTGAAGATATATTCTATACAAAGATCGAATGAAATTTGCACTTTTTGCTCTGCCCCTCTTAACCATCGGTCTGTTCCATCAAAATTTTGTGAAGGTATATTGACAAACTTAACTGGAAAGGGAACCCGTTAGATCCTCGTGGCAAGTGGACCTGACTAGTAAAGTAGCAAGAATTACAGGTAAATTTTATCTTTCACTTAACTCGATAGCTGTGGCGAGTGGGCTGAAAGCACAAACCACAATTGAAGCATTGCATAAAGCTGAAACAACGTGAAGCATGACAAGAATAATTCCATTGTAATTCCCTCGGAAAGCATTAATGTCATTGCCGTAAGATCAATAGAATTACCAAAGGCAGTTAGCAATCACAGCAGAAACAATGCCTTTGAGTGTTGCCTGTGTGATGAAAGAAGAAAGTTAAAGTTGTGCTACCGTTGTATGTATCAAAGACGACCAAGAGATTTTGAAAGTTACCATGGAGTGGTCTTTTAGACCAGAGAAAGAATTAAGGGCTTTGAAGATCCAGAGTGGCTGCATATACAAAGAAAAATGTTGCTATTAGAAAAGGTCACTAGCACAAAAGAATGCAGGAAAAAGACGCAGTGAATGTCACTTGAAGTACAAACCTTATGTGCTCAATTAGCTGCCGACCACAGGATATCATCATTGGCTACAGGTGCATATCGGGTTAGACAAAGCTCTTTGTACTAATGCGAAGAACGGTAGGTCACAAGACTTCTAATATTTACCTCATCACGTTTACCAAATATTACAGAGACTTCAAATGTTGGATCTGTAGACACCTCTTCCTCCTTCCTGGCAATTGAGAACATGCTTTCAGAAATTGTCATATTGCACATCAAATCAAACTTTTACAACTATTAACATCCCAGGTCCTTTAAAAATTTATATTCTCAAACAATATCAGGACTTGCATGCATGAACCAATCAAACCATTTTTTTTTTTTGCTGAAGCAAAGTGTTAGTTCATCAAATGGTGATCCACAGGTTTACTTGGGAAAGGCTTCAACAATGTGCCTAAAATTCATAACAATGTCTACATGAATTTCTATCACATTAAAAACTTGCCTATGGTTTATAACGTGCAAGGTATCATATCCTTTTTAGACTCTTAGACAGGGTTTAGAGAAAGGTATGGTTTAGAATCATATAATTTCATCTTTTGGGGTTAAACACAGATTTTCATCCATTTTATACATCATTTGCCCAAGAACTTTACCAAAAGAAACATTAAAGAAAAAATGGAACAAATAAAAGTGGCCAATCCAAATCAAAGATTATATTGACCTGGCATGCAGTATTGTTCCCATACTTCCTATTTGAGTAGCCAAAACCTGAAATGGTTAAGCATATTAAAAACTTTCCCATGCAGCATTAATGCCAAAAGTGAGGATTAAAACTCACAAAAAAGTGATCCTCATAGCTGCACATGATAATATCCGTGATGTTACCCTGCAGTGGAAAGAACGTTGAGCAAAACTTTGCATGCTAACAAACACAGGTGGAACAGATAAACCATCACCTTCAAAAATTGAGGTTTTTTTTTTTCAAAAAAAAGGAGCTATAAGTTGTTGGTTTGTAATCTGACAGCCAAATATAGATATTAACTGATTTTTCCTTCAGAACAATGTCGTCATCCTTGGTTCAGATGAGCAGACCATAATTCAATCAAAATTCTGGAGATTCATAATGTTGATTAAATCACTGAAGATTCGTATCAACACATAATTCAAAGAGTTATCGAGATTCATGAGATCGTAACTTTGCGTATTGGTACAAATAGTGGACCATTAGGTTGCAGTAAAATCTGAAATGTTTAAAGAGAACGAGGAATTTGAGAAAATCATCTACGACTTCAATGACAGCTACCTGTGACGGATTAACATTAAAAATGAAGAAGAAAAAGGGACTTGACAATTAACCAAACAGGTTATGGACAATTAATCCATAAGCAAATTTTTACATGATTCAATTCGAGTACCGCGAGGATCAAAGCATAACGTAATAGCATTCAAATCATTAAATATTACCATCTCAATCTCAAATTGACAGGACTAATTTTAGTATCTAAGAACGCAGAAACTCAATCCAAGAGTTTCACGACAAGAAACAAGCACGCAACGTGTATTCGACTTCTTAATTACGAATATGTCATGATTCGCAAGTATTAATATAATCCTATTAGAAATTGAAATTAATCAGAGTTACCTTGATTTCCAGAGTGAGCTTATTTTGCCGTACAGGAAAAGCAGGACCGGAGACGTCCATGGCTTTTACACTATACAGTAGTAGTAGTATTTTGAACTCGTATCAAGCGCTCGCCTGCAAAAGGCGGTTCCCGGTTGAGAGCTCAAATTGGGGCGGTCGTATGCATCCTAATATTCAGACCACAAGGCCACCGCATGGTACAGGGCGCAAGTCACGACAAAGACCGAAGGGAGAGGGTGCGAGTCAACTTTTCCATCAACAAAATAAAACCCCGCCCCCAAAAAATTACAAATCGTAGCCGCGTTACTCAAGAGTGCGTGTTAGATAAATTACATCTCGTATAAAATATTACTACAAATTTATTTTAATATTAATGGTAGTATGTTTGAATAAAGGATTATTTGACTTTTTTAAAAATAAATGTGTAGTGATATATCTGAGATTAAAAAAATATTATATTAATTTATAATGCAAAAAAGAGAACATATTTAATTATAGACAGGTAACCCTTTTACGATTTTAATTATAATTTTATTTTACATGTATTAAATCATAAAAAATATTATAATATTATTTAAATTAATTTTTTTAATTAATAAACTATTCAAACACACAAAGACAATCCACTATTTTGCTAGGTGCAAGTGGATGGCGAGGGATATAATATGCTGGGGGTGTGGTCATTTGTCCAAGTGCGATCGGATCCCCGTCCTCGCTCTTCCTTCGATGAGTCCGGGTCCATCGCATACAAATAAAGTAAGGATAGTCCGGCCATGCCACTTCTACTTGCTAGCGAGTCTCCTGTACTGTTGACTGTTGTTCCGGCGCAACTACTTGTACCAACCTCCAGCTGGCTCAAGTCGTTGTATCCATCTGGGCGGCGGGATGCCGTCCACTGCTCTGCCGCGACCCTTTTCCACTGAACTCTCTTCCAATTCCATTTCAAAGCCTTCTGGCGAACCCTATCTAGGATCCGAACTGTCTCGAACTAAGGCCGGTAGCCCGCTTCCAAGTGAATCTCCCTGTATTCAAATCAAAAACTTGGTCAGATGAATCCCAATAATGTAGCGTTTGAAAATAAGAAAACAACCCGTACAAAGTCAAGTCTCAATTGGTCAATTGTTTCTGAACATTGGAACTTTGGGTACAAAGTCAAGAACTTATTGAAGGCTTCAGGAATGGATTCTTCAGTGCAAAATGTCCTATCAGACAAAAGAGCAGTTGCCCTCAAGAATTCCTTCTGGGCATTAAGCCTTGCAAGAGATCTCGACCTTCCCAAACAGCCATCTTGATTCAAAGACTCAGAATCAATTTCATGTGATTTTGCCAATGACCAATCTGACGACTTTCCACAACGCAGAACAAATTCAAGAAATGAAAATGTTTTTCTTTTTTTTTTTCCAGTATCAGTAATTTATTCTTTGGCTGAAATTCTGCTCTGGAAGCCTGAAATATTCAAGAACAAGAATAGAATAATCTATATGAGTTCAGAGTTGGTCTAATGCATTTATATTGAACTTTAATCTCAAAATGGCTACTTATATAGCTACTAAGCAATCAGCATCTGTCAAGAACTTATATTGTTTGGTCAATTGTTTCTTTGTATTGATTAACACAAACACGCACACACACACACGTTAAAACAACTATACAAGACAAAGTGTCTTTGCTACAAAATGATGAAATTTCTTTTAATGATATCACACAATTGCTCGCTGCAGAGCTCAGCCATTTCCTTGTTTACATTTGCAGAACTTTTTGGCCTTAAATTCAATGGAGTATACGCAAAATCAGGGTACATTAATTTCCTACTTAATAATGATAATAATAATCACAAATACATTTAGGCCATTATACAAATAAAAGGCGAATGCAGATTTATATGACCGCCAAATGTATGAAAAAATGCTTGTCAGAGAAAGAGAGTAGCAAAAGAAATTAATCCAATTGATTACTTGGAACAACGGGAGATCACGGAACGAGCGGGAGGAGAAAGATGAGGAACGGGCAGCTTAGCCCATGCGGAACGTCGTCGTCGTTTCCATAGTCATCGGAATGACCACCGTCTCTTTTGACAAAGAAGCTCTTACTCCTCCGTTCTCTGAAACTGTTTTTGTCGTTAGTCTTGGAAAATATGGATTTGAAAAAAGACTGCAATTGCAAACCCCCATTGCTATTGCTATTGCCATGCTGCTGTTTCTACTAATACAACTGCTATTATCAATCGCTCCCCACTACCATTACTACAAGCATTCCATTGCTGTTGCTCCTGCTTCGCCATTGTATCTTTTTTCTTCAATTTGATTTTAATCGGTTTGGTTATAAAGAATGGTGAAGATGATGAAAAGAGGACAGAGGTTGTTTGGGTTTTAGGGTTTTTTTCTTGATAAATTGTGATTTTGGTTAAAGAGTTTTTATTTTAATCGGTTTGGTTATAGAGAACGAATGGATTTAAATTTTCTGTCCGATTGATCGATTAATTAATTTAATATGGTCCGAGTTGGGTTGTTTGAAGGTTTGATTTATTAAGGGACATTTGGCGAGATTCTACGGAGTGAGACAGGATGTGATAAAGGGTGTGGGACAGAAGATCCGTTCCGAAATTCGAACCTAGTTAACTTGATTTATTTGTCTATGAATCTAAAAAACTTAACCATCATGAATTTGAGCTTGAATAGATGTTAGTACAAGAAAAATACAATCCAAATTGAAAGGTCAACCCACGCAAAACCTGTTGCAGTCTCTGGCCGGTACGAAGAAAGAAACTAGAGGTGCAAAGAATGCTCGACGTGGAATTCGCTTTGTACACAAAAGCTGTCTCCTGAAGATTGGATGGTCGGACGTCTCCGGTGCCAATCAGCAAAGCGTTCGCCCAATGCAGCCTGGCTTTCATATATTTCTGTCACCCTCTAGACCTTAAATTACCCGCTAAAAAAATGGCTACGTAACAAAATATACTAAATTTTATTTATTGGAATGCCGTGGAGTTAGCTGAGTCAACAGCTACTGGACTCCTCGGTCGAAGTTTGAACACGTGCCGCCTGGCTCATATAAGCCGTTGAGCAAGCCGTCGCTTTTTAGCCAACCTGTACCCCCCCCCCCTTTAACACGTTCTTATAAGCCGTCGCCTTGTGGTGGCTTTTTGCATCATGTCGAAACATTATTTTATTACGACACAATCCATCCTACTCTATAAGAAATAGAGAGAATCCAACTGAGTTTCTATAAGAGGTTAGATATAAAGGCGAATATAAATCAAGTGGGTAGACCATTGCACACAAATTTTTTTTAATTGGGGAGATGAATGATTTGGACCTTAATATGGACTCCTCGTTTTTTTTAATTGTTGGATATGCTTTGAAATATAATCTCTCTCTATCATATACATATATAAGACACCTATTTTTTAAGAAAGCGCATAATTTAACACATAGATATTATCTCTCTCTCTCTCTTCTCAACACATAATTTCTATATTGATATATAGCTTGTAAAATTTAAAATTTAGTATTTTAAAACGACTAATCTAGTAATAAAACTTTAAATTCCTACCAAAATTACATGGGATAGATTAGTCCAATTCGGTGTTTTAAATTCAATTGACTACCAAAAGATATGATTGTATGGATTTAACAAAGTAAAAACTCAAAAAAAATTAATTAAATTTCAATAAAATGTAGTGTGCTATAAGCGCATTCATCCTGTCTTGTGGCGTACACTTGGTGACCAAGTGAAAAATAATGATAAATAGAAAAATCCTAAAGGAGACCGTTGTTTGGCAAGTATTTTTTTGTTAAAGGCAAATATGTCCGATGACGATACATACACTAAAAAAAGGCAAGAAATCATCATCATAATTTTTCCAAGCAAGCAGAACTATGCGGCAAGAATATGTAGGCATTGCTATCCATTTGGATTAACTGTTTTTTTGGAGTGTTTTTTGAAAATTTTTATTGTAACAGAGTTTTATAGTATATTTTGGGATATTTTTAGAAAATATTTTGAAATGTTTAAGAGTCGATGAGTATTTAGAATATTTTTTGGAATATTTTTTAAACATTTAAAAAAAATAGACTATCTTTTAGAATATTTTTTAAAAATTTTATATGTATTTGAAAATCAGTTTTTTAAAAACTCAGCAATCTAAACAGATAACAAATGTTAAGCAAAAAAAAAAAAAAAAGGCTAAAGAAATGGGTCTAGAGTCTAGACTAGTGTTGTTTTGGATCAGGGGAGCTCCGTGACTCCTTCTCCGTCCTACTCGAGAAACAAGAGGGTGGGGTAAAGCTAGCTGTAGCTGAAGCCAAGCCGACGAGCCGGTGGTAACGCAAGCTTGTGCTTCTAGAATCTTATTAAGCTTCTCAAAATAATGGGAGCCAAATATATGATGACGTTGCAGCTTGCAACTGCTTCTCGTCCCTATAGGCTATAACCACCCTTTTGCACTTCCTCCTCCTATATATATATCACTAGCACTGCCAGTTAGTAATTTTACTTGTGAGCTTCTGCTCTCTCTATGACTCGTCTTTCTCTTCACAAAGGCGGAGGCGGAGGCGGAGGCGGCGACTAAGCTAAGCACGGCTGTATCTTTGTACTCTCGCAGGTGAGGGAAGAAAAAGGGGGGGGGGGGGGCGGAGCGGGGAGCAAGAAAGTGAATGGGAATTGTGCGAATAGATGAGAGCCAGAGCTGGAGATCCAGGAATTCCGGCGCATGCTCTTGTCCTGCGCCGGACTGCACCCGCGGAAGGCGAGGATAACAATGATATGAGACACGTTACCACCACCACGGCCGGCGAAAACGACGACTCTCATCCTAAGCTGGTCTGCGTCACCAGCGGCGTATCATTTCTCGGAATTGCTATAGTTAATCAACTGTTGCTCCGTGGCTACTCTGTCCGCCTCATCGTTCACAATCAAGGTGCAACTTTAGTCCTTATTTTTAATTGGTTTTTACAAATTTATGTAATTGTTTTTTCAAAAACAAAAGGACAAACTAGTTTACCTAACTTGTTTGTTGGTTATAGACTTCGTAGTAAAATGACTAGTAACAGCTTCCAGGTGATTGTTACAGTGACCATAAAATAAAAAGGGTAAAATACATAAAACCCCTTGTGGTTAAGGAAATTGACACGAAACCTCCTCATTGTTTAGAAACTCCCACTTAACCCTCCTGTGCTTTGGACTTGTTTGGATTTTACCTGCTAACCGGCTGGGGAGCTAGCGAGTGATATTTACGCGACTTAATGGTAACTTGTGTCTAGCAGAAACTCATTTCATTCCAATTTTGTCCTCCATGACTCTTCCAAGCTTGCACCCACCATAGTTGTAGATCTGCAAATGAAAAATTTCGACAGAGATGCAAAACGAAGACCCAAAAACCACTTTTCCTCCAACACCTCAACATATTTCCCCAAATACTCCAAATCCCACTTGTATTTCTTAAGGAATGGCTGCTGCTGGCTTGTGCTACTTTCCCATTTAGCTGCCTGCAGACGCTGTTCTGTGTGTCAAAGTAAAGTAAAGGGAAGAAGTGGGAAGGTGATCGATGTTGGTTGCGTTAATTGCACCGCTGGTCACGGAATTTATGGATATCGCTGATTTAACTTTCCAACGCATTTAAGAGTGGAAATGATCTGAGAAATTCCTAGTGCTGACTTCTCTACGGCACTGACGACTCTCTTTTTTTTTCTTTTTCTTTTTTCTCTTTACTGCACTGACGACTGGTGGGAAATGATACTGGTGGCCTCTGAGTTTTGTTGGGACTTGGTGGTGAGACTGCGCGAAATGACAGAATTTCCAGTCTTGCGGAGGGGAGTAGAATATTACAACTAACAATTAAATTCACGCGCGGCCATCCTGCCCATTAAATAGGTGTTATGTGACAGTAGTGTAACTTGAGCAATTAAATTCGTCCACAAAACTAGTGGCTAAGTGCTTAATCAAGGACGGCCCAGGTAGGACTGAGAGGGTTGCTAAAAAGGGTTTCGGCTTTGGGGTTCTGGGTTTTTTCTTCATGGTGGAATTTGGACCGTGGGGTTTTGAAAGATATGGATCTGGGAATTGGGAGGTAGAAGGGTTGAGGTAGTTAGAGTGGCTCCGAATTGTACTGTACTCGTGGATGCAGCAGTAGAATGGTGTCGGAAAAAGGCTCCGATAAGAGGTGGATCATGACGGGTGTGTATGGAAGAAAGAATCCGAAGGAAAGAAGGCGACTTTGGAGGAGGGAATTGGAGAGGATGGCATCCAATTTTTATGAACCATGGATAGTCGCTGGTGATTCTAATGCAGTTAGCAGCAGTGAAGATAAATTGGGAGGTCTGAGACCCCCTCGAGTCCCAACCTTGGAATTCAGGACAATGATCAGTGACTTCCATTTCATGGAGCTTCACAAAGGAAAGAGGAATTTACCAACCTTGCTTCTCTCATGGTACAATCCTCTTCTCGCTGAGCCCCTCTGCCTTCATCTTCGGGAGATAGATCAGATGCGGAAAACCTTCTAGAACGAGATTCTATCTCAGAGGGCCCTCGCTACCATCACATCTTGGTCTTGGAGAGGGAAATTCATCAGCGAAAGATTTTCAATCTGTGAAATTCATTCTCAAGTGAAAACATTCTTCCAGCCCCCAAGAGACAGGGAAAGTCAATCACAGTTGATGGATCCAAGCTGACATTCTTCAAAGGCTTTCCCGGACTTAAAGAATTGACTCATTGCATCTGTAACTTTTCACATATTATATATGAGGGTATTTTTGGTATTTCATATTATTACCGCTCATCAGCCGGTTAGCAGGTAAAATCCAAACAAGTCCAAAGCACAGGGGGGTTAAGTGGGAGTTTCTAAACAATGAGGAGGTTTCGTTTCAATTTCCTTAACCACAAGGGGGTTTTATGTATTTTACCCAAATAAAAACTAATAAGAGCATAAGACAGCGTTACGCATGTCGCTGGGAACTTTGATAAGTAGCAATTTAAAAAAAAAAAAAAAAAAAGAGACGCCCAACCTCTGGCTGCCTTCATCGTTGGCAAAA